GTCTGTAGTGGTATTCACACTTCTTGTCATAAGACGCCTCTTTGGAACAAAGACTCATGACTTACAAAGCAGACACTACAGTTGCTAGAGCACTGCCTGTCCAGCAGGACAGCACCCAGTAAGTGCAGATTACATTTCATTTGGAAACCTTAACTGGCAGAAATTCTACCTTTATGGCAGATAAGCCAAAAGAAAAATGGTCACTGCAGGCTCCATAAATACACTTCCTAACAACAAAGGGTGGGAGGGGAACACAGTTCCCCAGAACAACTGTGCTTGATTTCAAGGAGAAATGGTGTTTTATTACAATTTAATCTGTGAATAGCTAACAAAAGAGACAGAAAGCATTAGTAACCTCGGTATTAACAAAGTAGTCAATTACCACCACCTTGTAAATATATACCTTCATTTTTTCTACCAAAGACAAATGACCAACAGTGTGATAGAAAACAGAGTAAACCCCTAATCTACTATTAGATAAATGCAGTCTGGGAGAAAGTGATATGATTAACATATCAGACACAGTACAGTAATTACCTTGGAAAGACAATACTATCAATATTTCCTGGAATTTCCATCTTAGCAAGATCTTTACAGCCAGTGACACCTTTTTGAAGGGTCTCACTGAGTCACCCAGTCTGGCCTCAACCTTCCAATCTTCCTGCCTCAGCCTCCTGAGCAGCTGGGATTAAGGCGTGAGCCAATATACCCAGCCTTTGAAATCTCTTTCTTACATGTTAAATTTACCTTCTTTCACTAATGTTGTGTGCTCTCTGCACTGTCCAGGGATGAAGAGGAAGTCCTGGACCATCTACAGAAGGGCCAGAAGGCACACAGTTAACTCCATGCACTGAGATGAGCATCAGGACTAGTGACAGGGCCGCCTTCTGTGCCAGGAGAGGCTGCAAGAGAGGGGCGTCTCCTAGAGATGCTACCCAAGGGGTTTCTGCAGGAAAAGACAGCATTCCGATGGTAACCCATAGTGAGAGCCATCCACTGGAGAAGGAAAGGATGGAAGGCCATGAAAAGGACACAGAAGCAGGCAAAAGCACGAGATGCAAGCATTCTCATTCTCTCTCTCTCTCTTTCTCTCTCTCACACACACACGCACACGGGAGGCACCCAGCCGATGCGCACTCTAGAAGGAAGCACTGGAGCACATGCGCATGCTCTACAGTGTCAGCTGCTGACCCCTGCCGTAAAACACATGGGCCAGGCATAGGCAGTTTTTCCAAATTTTCAAGAGAAGCTGAAATCCAGATTATTGCAAGTTCTCTTTTCCTAACAACAAAATGAAACAAAACAAAGGACAAGTGAATGTACCTATACACCAAATAAAGCTCACAACTCCCAGTTAAGACCTCGGCTCCAGGGGAAACAATACTACCGAGAGGAAACAATACTACCAGAGGCAGGTGATGCAGGCTGGTACCAGCTCTCTGCCCAGCATCCTGTGTTCCGGCTGAGTCCCCTGTGAGCTTCCAACCCCAGCTAGACATACAGGGTGAGACAGGACAGGAGCCTATATTCTCTGATCCTGCGGTTCCAGTTTGAAAACTGGAGGTTAACAGCTTCGTGGCTGGTATATACTTGACATTTGTGCACTCTCACCCCCTCTTTCCACTGCCTCTCATTTCAATTTACAATCTTGCATCACCTGTACATGCTGTCATTCTCCACCAGGTAACTGACACACCCGAGAGCAGAACTCTTGTCAATTATCTTTTCATCACAGCACTTCTAAAATGCCCTGACGCAGTAATCTGCCACAGAGTGAGCATTTAATCAGTGCTGTCTTAGGGAAAATGTTATTACTTAATATAATCACCCTGTGCTCAGCAAAATTCATCAGGCAGGTTTGCCTTGAAACTTATCCAAGAGCATTCAGTTACTGCAGTAGCTAAAGAATCTCACCCCGGCAGGCCCAAGGTCAGCATTACAGGGTATAAGGGCAGCAACAGCATAAGCCCAGCTCACTGCCAAGTACTATTTAAATGTTACATATTAGTAATAGTAAGGCACATCGAATACTTATATTCCAATTGATTGCACAGGAGGGCAATCATTCTTTCATGAGCTAATCTTGTCTACTATCACACTTCTGTTTCACCCCACCATGTACAGTGGAAGTCACTGTTTCCAAGTCCAGATGGCAACCACCAGGCCCCACGCTCATTCCTGTGAGTGGATGACGAAGGTTAGGCCTCAGCATGGGTATTCAAAATGATGGTACTCATCCCTAACCCAGAGCAATCCTTGACAGAAACATTCAGCTTACTCACTTCAGATGGCAAGCTTCTTTATCACTGGTAATGAGAGAAAGAACAAAAAAAGATAGTAAGTATGCAAACGAGGTTGTGACACCATATTTAGGTATGGTTGTGTGATTAGGCCATGGAGAAGGTAGAAAAGAAAACAAAGTTCACCTCAGTAGTCACACATTAAAGATAACCTACATGTTGGATGCTATGATGCTTTGGAATGAACAATTAGGATACATTAAAAATTGCAAAAGATGACATGGGCAACTACTGACAGGTGCAATAAGACTGAAGCTCAGTGAGACTTAAGTGGAAGAAGAAAAATAAAATGGCTGCGGATTTAGCTCAATGCTTCTGGCGCCTGCTTCGCAAGTGCAAGGACCCCGAATTCAATTCCTGGTACCAGAAAAATAATAAATAAATAATAAATAATAAGTAAATAAAATGACCTATAGATCTGAGTTTCTGTGCTCCCTTGCTGAAAAGAGGCCACTTGCTCCATGGTGCCCTTCAAAACCACATTCATCTACAGACCTGACCGTGTCTGGCAGGAATCAGTAAGAATGGACAAAGCAGAGAGGACATAAATTCAGAAGGTCACAGCTCTCCAGACTAGAACTGTGTTGTCCAGTAAGATAACTATATGTGGCTACTATAAAACAGTCACCTTCCTCAGTTGTAAAAGCATATTTCAAGTGCTCTGCCACCACATGTGCCTAATGACTAGCACACTGGATAGTTCCAGCCTCTTTCTATGAAACAGAGGTGGACGAGAAAGTGAACGCTTCTACTGCCCAGATTGGCTGGGTGAGAAATTAAAAATCAAAACCAAAATAGTTTTATTCATCAAGCATAGAGATACCCAGGGTTGTTTATCTAGCTCTTTTTTTCATATATCATAAAGTACCATAATTTAGATATCATAGCTAAATGTATCATAAATTAGAAACATTTAAGGATATAAAGAAAGTCTGGACATCTTTATTAGCAAGAACCCCCGCCCCCCGTCTTTTCTTTTGCTTGTTTTGTAGTGCAGGCAGGGATAGAAAGGAAAATATGGCAGGGGATCTAAAGCTCCTTGATTTGAAACTCGTTGCTACCTGTACTGCCAAAAACAAATAGATTTTTAGAAGTACCCACTTTTTCCTCTCCCTTTTAAATAAAATATTAAAGGTGGCTGAAACAACAACAAATTCCCACAGGACACAAGAAGAGGGCTTCAAGAAAATTACTAAGAATAAAATGAATGGTTATCTGAAATTACAGTTGCAGGACACCCAAGGAAAGAGCCACAAATCAAGAAAGTTACCAAAAATACCCTGTGGGAACAATTCAACAAATCTACATTAATTTTAAAAGTTCTCAACTTCCCAGAGGGTGAATGATTTCCTACTGGCAATTTAAAGTACTGACTTCTCATTAAGAGCAACATACTCTGGTTCAACTATTTCATTTACAGGCAAATAAAAGAAGCACATAAGTCACCTTTCGTTTGCAGCATCACTGGATTTCAGAGATCGTTTGGTTCTCAGAGGGAAGCCAAAATCAACTACAGCAGTAAGATGCCATTTACTTGGTGAACTTTCCTGTACATAGTTTTTGAAAGAATAAATAAAAATACTTTTGAATTTAAAGTTCAGTTTTAATGATATGTAATAAAAGCAAACTACGATTCATTGAAGAACCAGGAAAAAGAAAACCAACAATCTAAGAACACTGGTTCTATGTAAATACTCATTGTGTCACTGCTAAAGTAATTGCTGCTCCTTTACCATGCTTGCTTTCTTGTACCAAATTAAGGAAAATCTGATACTTCAGCGACAGAATAATCTGAATGTAAGCTAAAATTTAATCAGCATAAAAACAACAGAACTGATAATCCATCTGCTTAAAAAGAGTATGCACATTTCTTCAAAGAGGGATGCAAGAATTAGGCTGTTGGAAAACTTACAATGTAAGCCTTAAAGCCCTTCTTCAAAAATGCATGAGGCTGCGTCTCTGACTGATAATTATAGCCCTGGGAGAGTGGCTATGAGACAATGCTACAGCCGATGGTGTACACAGGACATAAGGACAGCTGCTGCTACCTTTCTAAACGGGGAGAAGAAAACACACGACCCAGACCTCTACTTTCTGTTCCTGGCACATTTCAACCGCTCCACAAGTGCTCAGCAGCAGAGTTATTATCAGAAGTCATGAAACCTTGCTGCCTGCTCCCTGCTCCCTGGCTCTGCAGTCATCCTCCCCTTCACTCTCAGCCTTTCGGTATGGAAAACCCAGTAATATCCTCAACCAAAGTCCCTGGAAAAGCTTCAGTCTTAAAGTCACTCTATCTAACCAGTCCCTTTCAAGGAAAAACCACTTCCCTAAAGTAAACAGAAACTGCCAGATGGACCTAAGCAAGGTGTGGAGGTACTCATGTAAACCTTGAGAACTCGTCACGACGACAGAGTCACAGCCACTGTTTTAAGCGAGCATGTGAAAATTAAAGATCTCCTGGCTCCGAAAGCAGTTTGGGTCAAAAGGTAGCTGACCTAGAGTTTACAAAAATCTACAAAACTGATTCCCGTTCCATGCATACACAGCTCTGAGGGGTGTGTAAACACCACCAACAAGCTGCGTTAGGTCACCAGCACTTCCCAGAGCTGGCACCATAAGTCGTTTGTAAGATGTTGATATAAGCACAGTGGGAAGGAGGGATGGATCTGGCTCTGACCAAAGAGCAGGGCTAACGCATACCTTTTGGTGTTCTGGAATCTCCATTCTTTGGCTGTTCATCTTCCTCATTAATGGTGAATAAACCAAGGGGAATTGGCCTTGCATGGGTCTTCTTCAGTCTCTCTTGTCGGATAGCTGTAGCTGATCCAGGCATACCGCTGCTGCTACTTGTTTTTTAATTATTATTATATTAAAAATATATGCTTATGTAATTGCAGCTCCCTGGAAGCTGCCGCTTCATTTGAGCACTTGTAATAGATCGCCTTTGGGTTAACAGTGTGCAAACAGCTGACAGATACTACCAGCCACTTGGCAACTGAGGCCCTGCAGTTCCCCCTCACCTAGCAGCCGCCCCCACACACTTACTCCCCCCAGGCACACGCGCTGCTAAGGACATGCACTCACATTCGCACACACGCACGCACACACCCCTTCCAGGAAAGCCCTATTATTACCAGCCATGCGGGTTCAGATGCCTCCCTCCACTGCCTAACCTGTGCAATCAGATCCCAGCTTCTTCCTGCCGCGGCACTTTTCCCAATCTTCTTCCTCCTCTGCACAGTTAAATATTCGGCACACAGCAGAGGGGAAACGATGACACGCTACCCTCCGTGAACAGTTGCCCTGACAACCCTGACATACCCTAATTGTGGAGGGCTGGGAGCTGCTCCATCTCCCGCTGCCAGTGGGCTACTGCGTCCCAGGAACTCACCAGCAGAGGGTTACAGCAGGCCTGTGGCAGCTCTCTGCCTCCAGGCAGCTGAGGGGCAGATGGGAGGAGAAGCGCAGTTCTTGCACAAGCAGCAGTGGCCTCTTCAGGAAGGAGAGAGGCCGGAAGGCAGGAAGGCTTTCTCTTCTTTTCCAGGCAGGTCAATACTAACAACATTTGTAAGCCCCTGCACGGATGACAGCCAGACTGGTAGCTCCATGCCTGGCTCAATTTCTGACTTCCCACCTCGAGCCCATATGTATAAAGGCTTGGCAGCACCTGCCATGTGGACCACTAGTGTCAGGTCCCCAAGACCCCTCATGGAGACAGGCAAAGGGAGACCCAGAACTATTCCACTAGAGTGCTGGGCTCCAGGGCACAACGCAGAAGGAGAGCATTCCCTCTGCAAGCCGAGGAGAAAGGACAGAGCTAGCAGAGAATCCACCCAAGGGGAAAAGCTGACTCGATGACACGTAGCACACTCCCTAGATCCCACTGGCCATCATCTCCAGGGTGCTGAGCAGTTCTCAGCTCTTAGCCTAATTTCAGTCCGTTTGGGGTACCATTCCCTCCAAGGCATACAATCATACATTTACAATGTCATTTTTTAAAATGCCAATTGCCAGGGGAAAAACTGTTTTTGCTTTTTAATCAACATCCTATCTGCCTAAAAAGCCAAATGAATCTCCTCATCCCCAGACTACTCTCCTACTTTTTCCTCAATATTTAAACTCACTTGCCCAAGGGGGAACCCAAAAACTCTTAAGGTAACTTCTCTAAACCTTCTGTGTGGACCAGTAACTTGAGATAATTCCTTTTACTCCTTTCAGTGCCTCAGTTGTTTTTTTTTTTTTTTTTTTTTTTTTTTTTTTGTTTTTTTGGGTATGTAAACA